TGACAATAGAAAGTTTCGAACCAAGGTAAACAGAGTGCACTCGAGTTGGCAAGTCTCAACACTGGGAGTTTCAAAGGGGATCATCCCACGTCCACTCATCTTCCTGATATTCAAGTAACAATCTGTTAGACAAAGTTAGCTCGGTGACATTGATCTACGAAGACGATGCAAAGATTTGAAGGTCCATAATGAACGAAGAGGATTCAACCGAGCTTCAAATGAACCTTACATTTATTGAAGAATGAGCGGTGAAAAGCAGTCTAAAACTAAACCTGTCGAGATTTCACGCCACATATATTCTGCCTCTTATGACACAAATGACCCACATCCTTAACGGGAGTCCGCTTCCTAATGTCTCCTCAGAGTGCGATCTCGGTTCAATAAACACTGAAAGTCTCGATACCAGTTCTATATCGGGAACGCAGCCAAGGCAAATGCAACTCTTCAGTTTATGCGAGGACTACTTGGTGCTATCAACTCACAATTATTCATCACGTTGTTTAAGACATATACACACCTACACCTTGGGGTTCACAACGTCGTCGCATCCACTCTCCCTAAAAGAGACATAAATCTCTTGGATCGAGAGCAGAGACGAGTAACCAAATTGGCAACAGGGTTGAAGAATAAAACTCAAGAAGATAGACTCCATCATTTGGGATTATCCTCTCTGAGTCACAGGAGAATCATAGGCGAGTACAGCATACTAAGAAAACGATCCTGATGAATAACCACTACGACCCTTGAGGTAATACTTGAAAACTTGTTCACCAAAGAGCGAACAATCAGGTTCGTGAACACTTTTTCTCATTAGGAGTCGTTACTCACCAATCCGAGATGACCACACTCCCCTTTGTGGACGGCGTTAAGAAGATACTTGCTCAACACGTACTCACATAAAGATTATCATCTCTCTCGTGGACTAGTTGTGCCTGATTAATGTCTTGAGGCCTGCTAGTTGTTACTATTGCCACCTCCTTAGATCACTAACTTATCCCTGTTTCCTCTTCTTTGCTTACACTTCTGTCCCCTCGCACAATCATCACTTACTTACTCACATACTTATGCAAGTTACCCCCAATGGAGAATAGGCCGCCCACCAGTTTTCTCCAAACAACTCTGTCCTGGGCTTTCCTCCCTAGTTCTGTCCAATGTTTGCTCATTCCTCTCATATCTTTCTCTATTTATCGGCATAATGTGTTCCTTCGCCTTCCTCTTTTCCTCTGACCCTGAGGGTTCCATGTGAGGGCTTGTCTCGTGACACAGTTAGGTGCTTTTCGTAGTGTGTCCTATCCACTTCCACCACTTCTTCCTGATTTCCTCCTCCACTGGAATCTGGTTTGTTCTCTCCTACAGTTAGCTGTTACTGATGGTGTCTGGCCAACCAAAGTGTTTTGCGTAGAAAACTGTTAATAAACACTTGTATCTTCTGGATGATGGCTTTGGTAGTTCTCCATGTTTCCGCTCCATACAGTAGAACTGTCTTGACATTTGTATTGAAAATCATGATTTTGGTGTTGATTGATATTTGTTTGAAGTTCCAGATATTTTTCAGTTGTAGAAATGCAGCCCTTGATTTGCCAATCCGCGCCCTCACATCTGCATCGGATCCACCTTGGTTGTCGATGATGCTGCCCAGATATGCAAAGGTGTCAACGTCCTCCAAGGCATCTCCATCAAGAGTGATTTGTTGGTGCATGTTGTGTTGTATCTGAGAATTTTGCTTTTTCCTTTATGTATGTTGAGACCTACTGCTACTGAGGCTGCTGCCACACTGGTCTTCTACTCTTGCATTTGTTGTTGTGTGTGCGATAGATGAGTCAGGTCATCTGTGAAGTTCAGGTCGTCCATCTGCATCCTAGCTGTCCACTGGATACCATGCTTCCCTTCAGATGTTGACGTATTCGTAATCCAGTCGATCACCAGGAGAAAGAGAAAGGGTGAGAGTAAGTAACCTTGCCTGAAACCGGTCTTCACCTCGAAAGAGTCTGTTAGCTGTCCTTCGAGTGTGATTTTGCGGTTGGATCCATCATAAGAATTCCGTATGACGTTAACCATTTTCTCAGGCACGCCGTAGTGTTGAAGAAGCCTCCATAGTGTTTTCATATCCACGTTATAGAATGTTTTCTCGTAGTCAATGTAGTTGATGTAGAGTGGTGAGTTCCATTCAATTGATTGTTCCACAATGATCCGTAATGTAGCAATTTGGTCAGTACAGCCTTACGAAATCCAGCCTGTCGATCTCGAAGTTGGATGTCTACCAAGTCCTTCATTCTGTTTAACAATACTCTGTTGAAGACTTTGCCTGGTATTGAAAGAAGAGTGATGCCTCTGTAGTTCTCACACTTGCTGAGATCGCCTTTCTTTGGTATTTTGATGAGGTATCCTTCTTTCCAATCTGATGGTACTTGTTCCTCATCCCAAATCTTCCTGAAGAGGATGTAAAATGTTTTCGCAGTTGCTTCCACGTCCGCTTTCATTGCCTCTGCTGGAATGTTGTCTGGTCCTGCTGCTTTGCCGTTCTTGATTTGTCTGACGGCCATGCTGATCTCTTCAATTATAGGTGCTCCAACATCGATTGGGAGGTCCGTAGATGCTGCTTCGATGATGGGTGGGTTCAGTGGAGCTGGTCGATTCAAGAGTTCCTCAAAGTGCTCTACCCACCTATTTCGCTGTTGTTCAGTGTTACTGATTACTTTGTCTTCCTTGTTTTTCATTAGTCGTTCTGGTTTACGATAGTTTCCGGCGAGCTTCTTTGTTGTTTCATATGACTGTCTCATGTTTCCCTCTCTTTCAGCCTTTTCCGCCGTCATTGTTAGATCTTCCACATATTTTCGTTTGTCAGCTCTGATGCTCTTCTTCAGTTCCCTGTTTGCTTCTGTGTATGCAGCTTTTGCCTTAACTTTCTCTGCTCTTGTTCGGATGACATTGATTGCTGCATTCCTGTTCCTCCTTTCTTCAATTTTTTCAAGAGTACCAACAGATATCCAATCCTTGTGGTGGTACTTCTTGTGACGCAGAACTTCGTGACATGTTGAAGTGATTGTCTCCTTGATCCCTTTCCAATTGTTCTCCAATGTTGCTTCCTCTCCATTGAGTAGATCCTGAAAGGCCTGGAACCTATTGGTGAGGGCTATCTTGAATTCGTTGAGTTTTAAGGTATCCCGAAGAAAGGCTATATTAAACTTGTGTGATGTTCTCTACCCCGTGGTCCAGTGTTTCTTGAGTTTCAGTTTTGTTTTAGCGACCAGCAAGTGGTGATCTGAAGCTATATCAGCTCCTCTCTTGGTTCTCACATCCTCCATAGTCCTTCTGAACTTTTTGTTGGTTCTGAGTAGTGTGGTCCGGTGAAATCCATGTAGCTTTGTGTATGCGTTTGTGGGGGAATGTTGTGCCACTGATGACCAGTTTGTTGAAGGCACATAGGTTTGCAAATCTTTCACCATTTTCGTTTCCTTCTTCCAGTCTATGTCGTCCCACGATGATGTCTTCATATCCAGTGTTGTCCATGCCAACCCTGGCATTTAGGTCTCCTATCAGAATGGTCAAATCCTTTGGTGAGCATCTGCCGACGATTGATTGCAGCCCTTCGTAGATTTGATCTTTAACGTCGTCATCGTAGTAATCGGTAGGTGCATAGCATTAGATGACGTTCATTGTAATGTCCTCTTTCTTTGTTTTGAAGGATGCTTTGATGATCCTGGGTCCGTGAGATTCCCATCCTATCAGTGCAACACCTTGTGTATTTGAAGCATTTTCCCCTTCATTACCAGAGTATAACAGCAGTTCCCCTGAAGCTATTCTCAGTTGTCCTACCTGTGTCCAATGCGTTTCACTGATACCGAGCACCTCGAGGTTGCATCTATTCATTTCTGCCGCAAGTTGAAATAGTCTTCCAGTCTCTCACACTGTACGAACGTTCCATGTACCTAGAAGAATGGTTGCTCTGGTTGTCAGAAGGGGCATCAGCCTTGTGACTTTCGAGGGAACTCGGCTTTCATCACGAGACGTCATAATTCTTCTTCCGACTCCCAGGGCAGAGTTAAAATAGTTTGAATTATTTTTTCGGGTTAGTTTTTTTTAGGAGTTAGTTTTTAGTTGAGATGGGTGTGTCAACCTCACGCCAACCCCTCCCCCTATATCCAGGCTTGGGACCGGCAGTAGCCCCGAAGGGCCTACAGGCGGAGTTAGGTTCATACCTATTGCAGAATATAATACACACTCTTAATAAGACACGATAAGAACAAAAGAGCTGTTTTGTTGCTCTTAATTTTCAATCATACCCTAGAAATATCATTCAGTGATTAATAACGCTTACAAATAACATCCATCACCATTAAACCTATTCTTTAAAATTATATGTTCCTGGAAATATTAAAGTAGAAAGTCATAATCAAAACATGAAGATAAAGCTTAAAGTGACTCACTATAGATGGCAGAATTTGTGAATACTTACTAGATTTTTTAAACATCAAAATCATCAAAATGTATGTGTTATTAGTTAAGAAGTTTAAAATAAGAAATCTATGATGGTGGTAAAAATAATTATGATCAAAGAAAATTAAAAAAAAAGGAAATAGAAATATGTTTATAAGCATAAATGTAAAGTACACTTTAAAAAAACAGGCAGGTCCTTTATTGTTATGGAATAAAATATTTGATTACATGTGACCATATGAATATTTCTAACAACAGAGTAATTGATTTATAAATGTAAATATTATTGAAAATTGAACTATTATTACAAAATGCCATGAATGTTTGAAGTTTTTTCGATTTCTACGTCATTAGCATCAGTTGAAAAAGATGAGATAATGTAAAATGTTCCGTAGGCTTTATAAAATCACTTCAATTATTACATTCACATGTTATGATGTCTATCAAAGTGTACTCTATTATAAATATGTGTATAAATAGGAAGAAAAATCTATCAAAACATTTATATGTAATACAATATGAAACTATACATTGAAAGCTGTTTAGTAATCATCTTACTCACAATGCAAATGTTTATTGTATCTTTAACATGTAAGTAATTATCGTTTGTATTTTGAATAATGCGTAGAAATCATTCGCAAGAGCTCAGATTCATTCATTTTTTTCATCTCCTAAATTTTTAGCTTCTGAATTCTTCACAATTTAAAAATTATTTAAATGTCACTTATCTGTGTTTTTTTGAGTTGTGTCTTCAATCCGTAATCTTTTCTATTACCACTGATACTGTTACGACCTCTCTACTTCTCTAGAATTCAGCCAGACTATTTCATCTTTGGACTAATTGGATTTCACAACTTGAACTGATGTGTGTACTTATCAAGTTCTACATTGTAACTGACTGACTGATCTGAGCATACTTGTTATGAGATTTTATTGTTTACTCAACAGAATAATTAGTCTAAACAAGCTAGTAAACGCCTTTTTTACATTCATTTAAGCTCTCAATCGTAGGACATTTTTATCACGAAAATGTATTGAATAATTTCAAAAATAGATATGTAGAAGAAGCAATTAAATATCTAGATATGATGTCAGTAATTTTATGTTAATTTAGATCTACTTCTAAATACAAACGATGCAATATAAACAATCAATGCAATACACAAATAAATAAAAAGTTTGATGCAGAAAATATCACATCATAATGATTGATGTAAGATCATGTATTGCATTATGGACAAGTTCATCATTCCTGAAAATCGGTATACACATGCATAAAGGAGTAATCTTTTTCACTTTTCATTGTATTTGTTCAATGGTTTTAAACTTTTTTTTAAAACTGAACTACTTGCAACTTTGTAAAATGATGTTTTATTCTGTCTGATGAGTGAGTAAAAAGTTACTGATTTACGAAGAAAAACAGTAGAAGTCAATAAAATGTTTTGTACAAAACTGATGTAATCAATCATTATTTAGCATGGATTATTTTGAGGTGTCGAGTTTATTGAGTTTAAAGCTAAAATTCATACTGTTTTCTGTGTTATTATTTATTCATAGTTTCAATGTGAACAGTTTCAATTCATACTTTTGTATTTTTCAGCTATAGAAAATGACTGGCGTAAGTTATTCAGTGGATGACATTTTAGTCAATCTTTATGCTTAAAAGATACACAACTTAATCAGCTTTCAAATATTTAAATTAATTTTTTTCGTGTTGTTGCAATTTAATTTTAACAAAATCTATCACTTTCAACAATTGTTGATCAAATTATGAATTATGTTTTGTAGAAGTGAAGTACCAAAATGTTACTATTTTTATGTAGTCTGGATGACCTAATTAGCACTTATCTGTATCTTTACGTTACAAAGAGATGAGTACAACTCTGATCACGGTTTACCACAGCGTTGTATGCAACTCTGAAAGGAATGACCAATCTAATTGCTTTCGTATTACTTAAATTTGAAATGTAATCCAATAAACATTACTTTATTACTTCCAATAAACAAATCAATTTTTTATGAAATATCTGCATTTCAATTTCGACTGAACAATTATTGTCATCATTACCTAATATAAATGTAAGAAGTTTTACTTTTTTGTCTCACAGTTTTATACTCTTTTCCTTTCTACAAAGATTTTACTTGCAATCGTAAGTTATCATTATGTTGATAAACAATGATTAACTCAGAATGATATGAATTCATTTTATTTCATGGTTTTTCATCAGCTACTTATAACTATATAAGTATTAAAGTGTAACAGTGAGTTATGATATAATATGAAGTCATTGATATTGATGATGAAAAGAATTAAAATAACAAGTCTTCCATAATTGGCACATAATCCATTTTATCAGTTTCTGGACTTTAGATAATTGTTACTTCTTCTACCCTTTATTGAATTTCTTAACCAAATAACCTCACATCTATTTATTAACAGTTTTATGTGTAATTATTATTGATAATCTTCGTTATTCTAACTCTTTCTGCCGTCACTATCGATCATTTTAAATTATATCATCCTTAAATATTACAATTTTATACGAATACAATTGTAAACAGCTGAAGAAAAACCATGAAATTCAATGAATTCATATTATTTTTTGAAATCATAAAACGATCCAAGTTAGACTTAGAAGCACTGAATGTACGTTTTGTCCTAATATGGTGTTTATCTATGACTTTGGAAAGGGTGATAGAATTTCGCGCGCGACCACCTACACTCCTGACCACTGAGCACCATTTGAGGGTGTTAATATCAAACTTCAGTCGATCCACGATATTGTGCAGTCTCACTGATTGTTTTCGGTTGGTAAGTGCTTCATTAACATTAACATCGTTGGATGCCAACCAAGTAGTCGAGAGGTCATGAGGTCACGCACGAAAAAGGAAGATCCTGGATTTGGTTTCAGCTTGCGAGGTCGTGTAAGGACACTGCTGATTAGTCCCAGATTAGGACAAAATGTCAGTCCAGTGCTTCTAGGTTCCTAATGGGGGTCTAACATTGAATGATTGATGATTTCAATAAAACTCAACATTCTCCACCACCTTACAATAACAGTTACCTGTTTAATTGGTTATTAGGTTTAAATATAAAACTTTTGATTATTACAGGTACAAGAAGACCAAGCAAGTGATCGTGTCAAGTTTTCACCCATTATGTATTATATCTTTTATATGTTATAAAAAGCACAATTAAATAATGTTTGTAACTATTATGCAGATATGTTGAATTCGTATTTTTTGTCTTGTTTTTTGCATTCAATAGAAAGGATTTGTTGTGGTAAGTTTATATTTCTAACTTAAAATTTAGTATTTTCAAATCACGTTAAACTGTACAATTGTGATGAAAATTATAACCATATGCATCACTAAGTAGATCAGAGGAAGAACTGATACAGATTTTTAAAAATTTCCTTGACTTGTTTTTCGGTTATATTTTCTGGTTCAAGATTTAAAAGATTTGGAGTGTAGATTGTGTAGCTAATGGATTTTGTTAATATTCCAGTAAATAGGTCCATCACTGAGATGTGGATTAGCATATCATAAATTTTAACTTGTACCATAGTAGTCATCCGATGTAGTTTGAAATGCAAATTTGCACGATTCGTATACAGATTGTAGTCTGCGTACATTATAAGCCAATTTATAACTTTCGGTCATTCATAACGCTTCCCGTGAGATCAGTAACATAATCTCAAAGTAACTGGTTTAGAAAAAATTCTCATTATTAAAGGTGTGTGATGAATCCTTTGAGTTCATTATGATTTTGATCAAAATCTTGCAAACTCCTGACAAGTGTTACCTTATCAAATACTAATCATCCACTCCATTCACGTCTACCTGATTGTATATCTTCTAGTAGAAAGAGATGCAAATACATTAGATTTCATGCATGCAAACAAAGGTATAAAAGTTATGGGGATTAGTGTTTTTACACATTTTGAAATCATCAATCAATCATTATTTGACTACCATTAAGATCCTGGAAGCACTGGACGGCCGTTTCGTGCTGGAATGGGAATTATCAGCAGTGCGCATCCACGAACCCTGCACCTCTCAGGATTCGAATCCGGGACCATCGGTCTTGCACGCTACCGCCTAACCTCTGAACCCCACCCATTTAACTTTGGTGATCACTGCCTACACCCGACAGGGTTGAACTCTACTGGTCACGTCTTCTCACTAGAACTCTGAGAATTTCATCAAAATGTGTACAAACACTAATCTCCATATCTCTAATTGAAAAATCGTGTGATTACTAGTGACTAGCTTCGTGAGGAAATTCTCGGAGTTCTAGTCAGAAGAAGTGACCATTGGAGTTCAACCCAGTCGAGTGTAGGTCCCAGGTTTGAATCCTGGTAGGTGCAGGATTCGTGGATGCGTACTGCTGATGAGTCCCATTCCAGGACGAAACGGCCGTCCAGTACTTCCAGGATCTTAATGGCGGTCTAACAATAATTGATTGCTGATTTCAAAATGTGTGAAATACTTTGTGCAGAGCCGTTAATAATAATAATAATAACAAAATATTTTAATTAAATTCTATTTTCTAAATTTTATAATCCATTATGATAAGTTAAATGATGATAATCAGTCGAGATTGACATTTAAATAGATTTTACTAAACATTTTGTACAACGATATAATAAAGTCTACCATTTGATTTTTATTTGTTTTTATAATAGGAGACGGAAATGGTTAGTATGGTTAACTCTTAATAACAATTAACAACGATATACATGTACATTTATTTCATTCGAAAGAAATCTATTCTATCACAAAATATTTCATTGGTTTGTATTTATATTCTTTTTTAAAGAAACTATCTGTTGTAGTAAGTCCGTAGTCAGTCATTTATTCATGGTTTTCTATATGATTCATGTTAGGATATTCATCAGATATCCTGAGAGAATTATTTTTGTAAGTCTAATTCTGTTGGTCAATTCCTACTGGTCAACATTATGGTCGTCCTAGTGATCGATGTCACAGACTTCAATGTTGTTTCCTATTCGACCTAACTGTATAAATACGCATTATCTGTATCGTTTCATGATCCGGATCCTTAGTCCGGGATCCTTAACTTCTTCTGGACTCGCACCCCGTACTTTCTGGATGGTTGTAGAATACAGGTTCTACTTCATATCAAATCTTCTTTTACTCAATGGGGGTTTTGGGACAATCGAATTAAAGTAGCTTGTCGTGTCGCCAAATCCTCGATCCTCGCTCTTATTTACTGACTAAGGTAAACTCATAATAGTTCAAGCATATCAAATGACGTATTTACGCGCATGTGTAACAATTTATAACTTTCCTACTGAGTAATGGCAACAGCAACAACAATAATAATTCTGAGTAGAACCGACTATACAGAGCTTTAAAGTTAAATAAAATTAATTGTATTATCAAAATATCTAATTGGAATTAAACTGTTTATTTAACAAAAAAGTGTATACTTTCAAATAAGATTTCCTCATAAATATAGTAGATTTCTCTCGGGACATAGATATATTTGATTCAAAAAAATCATTTTTAATGAATACATTACATTAAACTGATTGTTTTAATATGCTATACTTGTATCAGAATTTAAATGAATCTAACTTAAATAAGATGGTAAATAAGATGGTAGTACCTTTTCAACTAAAAACTTAACATGTTATCTGTTCGTGTCAGATGGTTGACAAGAAACAGTACCTAGGTTTCTTGTTGTCTGATGTAATGATCTTCATACAATTCAAGCCCACACCATTTGGCTTCGTAGTCTGAAGATTAACACTAAGCTATTTATCTAATAAGAAGTATTATTTTCAGGCAAATGAAGTAATAACGAATCGTGATACAGCCAGCTGTGTTTACGGACGATTAGTGAACCACATTCACTAATCAGCTTAATGTCACAGTGACTTTCATTCGTCATGGCTCAACTATCTATATATTGATACTGTTTTTTTCCTTGCGAAACACGTAGCGTGTTTTTGTTCAGTCTAACTGTTTGAGTTTAGTTCTAGTTTTTGTTTAAGAGATTACCGATGTTTTTAAAATTAACATATCAGACTTAAAAACACCAATCTATTCATAGATATTTTTATTCAACTTAAATTTTCAACGTTTATCCACCAATTTATCAACACGTTAATATGAATCAGTTTCCCCTTGATCTATTTCATTCTAGCCAGAGGTGTTTGTCTTGGTAGGTTTTTCAATGAAGAAACCTTTAATAATTTCATTGATTCCTTGAAATTTAATCAATACGATCCTATTATTTTAATACATCAATCACATTAATCATCACGTTGAAGTTAAACAAATTATTTCAAGGATCTATAATATATTTTACCAATCTATCTTGTATTTTGTATCCCATTGAAATGAAATGTTTTTATATATATTTCTATGTACACAATGATTTTTAGTTTATGAAAGTAAGTTCTTCAGAGTATAATGAAGAATAAAAGATGACCAACTAAAGTTGATCATAAATTCTACATTATTTTACTTTGAATAAACATTTTTCTGATGGATAAAAATGAATCAATGTAGTCTGAAATTAACTCACTGGTTTCATAGTATAAGGACACTTCTTTTTAAGTACACTCTTATATGTTCTAGTATTTTGAAAGTGATTCTCAACAATTTGCACACAATTAATGATTTAATTGTGAATGAGAATGTATATTCATTTAGTTAAAATAGTCAACGGGTAACTTTTATGACTGTTTTAAATCTTGTGTAGTGAATAATTGATCAACACTTTAATTATGAAACCAAAGTGAATGAGTTTTCACTGCTAAATTACAATCAAATTATTATTGAATAGAAAAAACAATACCGTTTCTGTGTTCTGCGTTTCATCATGTATTTTGTTGTATCTGATATTGATACTTCTGGGACATATTGTACAAAGTTCTTACTGCAACCATTCGATTGACATTAAATATGTTACAATCTTATTTTATATGTTATATATGTATATATATTTTCATATTCAAGACGATGTTTGATCAGTAATTGTTGAGATGCACGTATTGAGTGCAAAGGTCTGGATCTGACCAAGAGATAGATGTTTTTCCTACATGTTCGGATTGTGCAGATAGGAATTCTGTTACAGTTTCAGTGTGGCTATCAGCATGCAAGCACATACAAACTCTAGATAAGATAAAACACACGATGTATCCTCCACACTACTTCTCAGTCTAAACGTACAACTTATTTGTATTAGCGAACATGTGATCTCAAATGGGATTTTGATATGCCTGTCAGTTGATATGCTTGAAACTATTACGCGTTCACCTTACTCGGTAAACGGAGCGAAGAGAAATGATGCAGAGACACGGCCCGGCTAACTATCTCACGAAGTCTTGATAAGACGTAGAAAGCGTATTCCACAAACACTCAGAAAATACGAGATCTACAAACACACAAATCGAGCTTATTTATACATGAGAGAAGCGTCCTTGGGAGAGCCACAAAAATAGCGTACTAAAATAGTCTATCAACCAATGACAGTCAAGGATTTTCCGAATGGGAAATGTAATCTCGAGGTCAGTTAAGCAACTTATGCACGAAAACATAAAAAGTCCAAAATTAGGACCTTTTCCAAGTGAGTGCTTGGGATCTAACGCCCCAAACATATTTCCTCAAGGAAACGGTGTCCTAATTTACTGATCTCACAGTTTTAATGATTGAACTAAGTTTAACTGTTCTGAACCTAACATGTAGGAGAAAGTGAAAACAGTATTTCTCAGAAATCTGTTATTGAGTATTCTGCGATTCCCGCAGGAATTTATATAAAATGCTAAGTATGTCAATATATCATGCGTATTACATTTTGAAGTTTCATGTCATGATATGATTTCAGATAAGCTTCAAATTCAGAAGAACTCCACAGCATTTTATATTATAGCCCTTTTCCTGCAATTTCCGAAAAGGAAAGTAGATGGGATTTGTTAAAGTTATTAATCAACAGGTTATGAAATTCTATTGAAATTCTAACGATGGACTAAGATATACGCTTTATTGGTGATAATGAGTATCGACAAAATAACTGAATAAAATATTATCAAGTGTATTCTATCATGTCTACAGCAGATAATTTAGATAAATAAATACCTGAATTACAAACACTGCATACTGTTATTTGCTACGGGAAATTATCGTTCCTGTATATCATGACAACGTAAATACTTGAAATAATGATATCATATAACGATAAGGTTTTCGAAGCTACTCATATACTATAAGTACTATTATGATGTTTATGATCATTTTTCTAAGTACACTTCCAAGAAAACTAGTTATATCACTCTTTGATATTAGAAACATGAAGTAATTATTTTATCATTTGATATTATAGGTGAAACTGGCTTAAACTTATGTAAGTGAATTTTCTTACTTTTAGATAAATGTTTCACCCTTTGATTTGCAATGATTTAAAATGCAACTGTAAAATGCAATTAAGATTTCGGAAATTAGTTGTAAGAAGTATTCCTCATTAGTATGAACATCACAATGTTCATCTAAATAATACTTAAGTTCTTAAGTTGGGTTGACATCAATATCATATATCACACCATTTTTGCAAGACTGTATCCTCTCTACAGAAGAAAATGATTCTGTGATATGTCAGCCTAACAATCTACTCTAATAATTGTCAAAATACAACTATAGTCTGTCTGCTTAACTAGAGCAATATCGTCTATATAACGAGACAAAATTCAGCCCGTTAAAACAAACTCTAATTAATACAATTCTTGATCTCAGTGTACTACAGTTCTGTTCGTTTCACTGAGGAGTCAATGCGATTCCACATTGTCGATGTGCACAGATCATGAAGTTTTTGCACAGATAATTAAACTTTCCTTTTTCTAGACATGATAAAATATTTTCACTAGTAAATCAAATTGGTTTGATCTTCACTTTACTTATACCATTCAATCTTAAGAGGAGACAGGTTTCTCAGGATTATCTTTGAGATGCTTTTAGTAAAAACTTTGATAGTGTCTATGAACTCCACTGAATGATTCACACCAAACACCATATTTCATAATATGGTGTGTTATAATAGACACTGGTTTGGACATATATCCAATGAAGCATGATTGATTTTTTGTTCTTATTTTAACTACTTTACTTGATAGCTTCAAAAATACGCAAAGTTTGTAAGTACTTCTCAGTCTTAATTGTCTCAATAGACTTTGAACAGTACTTCAGATCTGATTAATTAATACAGTATTTCAAATTGTTTTCATTGAACATTTTAATGAGGATTAGATAAACAAAAAACAGTCAGTTGCAAGGAGAAAATTAAATGGATCTTAAACTGATACATTCATGTTTAGACATTGAATATCGTGTATTTAAATAAAGATATTTATATTCTTTAAATTAAATGATACATTTCCCACTGTGTACTATGACTATTAGTTAACATTTATGTCAATATAGGTGCTATGCACTTTCAAATAGAAATGAATATATGTACGATTCCATTTAGGGAATCATAGGTCCACGTTAGGTTTTTGTCATGATCCCAGTGTGCATAACAATACTTTGTTTTTATAAACAACTTTGTTTAAGGTCATAAACTCAACAGTAAGTCTATTTCATTTACGAAGCTAGTCACTGACATGAAGAACACCTTCTTTTGTGATGTTAACTAAGATGCATGTTTTTAAAACTTCCGTCAAAGCAGGATTTTAAGTCTGCAATCAGATGGAGGAGAAAATTTGTTGCTCAGGTAGATGTTTTGGTATAGCTCTATATTATGGGCTGAATGGTTTGGTCGTGAAGCTAAGAATACTAAGGCTATTATTTGAAATCTGGCACTCATGGCAATCAGCTATCAACAAACACATCGAAAATGACCTAATTTATCACTCATTAAAAAAAAAATCATGGACACATAATATTTGATGCGTTTTTAAATCAATCATAATTCTTAAAAAATGAAAGCCTCTTAAATCATTCTTTCACGTTTATATCCAGAGGGCAGTAGTCACCGACGCTGTAGTGTTAATCAACTACTTGTTGTACCGCCCATCACTAAAGATCCTTAGAAAATACCATTTACAATAAGTTATTTTGTATGTGATTTTAAGTCTACCCTATGGTCAACATCTGAATAACATGTTGATGAGTTTTAATCAGAGGAGATACGATTCAATTTTAAAAAATTCTGTTTTCAAAATAATTTTTTGGAGGTTATAATATTTAATGCGTTATACATAATCGATTTAACGTTGTTTATTTTGTTTACAGAGATATAATAAATATATTTTACCTAAGTCAATCAGGATGAGGAAGAATTTTACGCGTTCAAAGCATTGATCAACAGCAGAACTCACTACTTTATTGTTTCTCATCAATTGTATCACCTTCGAGTTATTGACCATTATGTTTTGTGATAAAAAAACCATATTATACAATCATTTTTATGTTGTTACTAAAGTCTTAGCTATTAAAATATGAGTTATTAAAACATGTCAGTTCAAAAATTTATACAAAATTCTGCATTGCCTAAACAGATAAGTGCATTATTATGCAAGTCAGCATAACGTCAAAGCTACAGATCATCTAATGTGCATCGAATTAAGATATAACATACAGCGAGGCTAAAATCTAGAACAAAAATAGGTTCAGAGGTGATCGAAGATTCTCACTTATAACCAAGTAACAATAAGCCAATTATTGAGTGATTACAAAAGAAAAAGGAGGATACAAACGAAAACATATACGGTAAAACAGAAAACAACTCAAGCAGAAATGGAGAAAAATAAAAAGCAGGAAAAATCGTTGAAAAGTGCAAAAGCCACAATAGATTCGCAGAGCAAAGACATCTAATCGTTTGTGTCAGTGCGTGAATAGGCGATATAAAAAGACCTAGGCGAAATTCCCATTCCACCCGACCTACTGCGAGTGCAGGCACACACACACACACACACACACGCACGCTCCGCATCCTGACAACTGAATATCCACCTCGAGTCGACCACCGACTCACAGTCAACAGACATCAACTCGTCCGAATCCAACGACAACCGTCAACAACTGCTCGAAGCCATCGTCTCACTTGCTCAAGTGATACTGCTCCACTGGTGACCGATCGAGTGGACGGATACTGACTGCACTCTATCGCTCACTGGAAACACTGCTTCACATGAAAACTGCATACCCCGACTGCACGCAGACACACGTCACCGGACACTGGCTCAGTGACCGGACCCGATGCAATCACTTACTCCATCAAGTCACGTAACTTGTCCCAGATGTGTTCACAATGATTTCTCTCTCACCAGAGTAGTCTCCAACAACAACAACAACAACAACAACAACATCGCCTTGTTGGTGTGCGTCTCACCAAACACTTATGTATGTCAGAGACCAGACTGATATACACAAGTGAGTTTGTGAATACAAATTGTGTGCGATGATGCAGATCAACTGAATCTTCGTGTGAATTCATGCGGTAGTGATGGTGATGTCTGTGAGATGCAGATTGTGGAGAGAGGAGAGGAAATGTTGGAGGTCGGTGGCGAACACCAATGTGAAATCACCAGACATGAGGAACCACAGTCGTTCCATTCATCCTCCATAATCAGAATGTGTTCAGGTGAGTCAGTGAACAGAGACAACAGGAACAGACATTCCATCCACAACCGGAATCAATATGCCAACATCAGACATGACCGAAGACAGATGATCGCGTCGCTCATGCAACCATCGACAACATGTTTGAACTAGACAACTTCACCTTCGTCTCCGTCCCATCCCACATCTATATCTGCTTCTCATCGCCACATTCCATCTCTTCACCTTCTCTCTCCACCTCCACCTCCACCTCCATCTCCATCTCCCACACACACACACACACACACACACGCACACACACACATCTACGCACACACACAAACTAGTTTGACAAGTAGATCACCTACTTGGTGGATTGCATTCTGAGCATCGACATCTGTTTGTTCGTGTCCATTGCACACTCCTCATGCTGTCCGTCCCGACACGGAGATATGTGACGTCCGACTGACGAGAACTCGGATATCGTGGTGCAATGCAGTGTTGGTTAGGGCTTCTCCGGATTTCCATCCCGTTCGCCAACTGAGCATCGATCACTCGTGCGAATGTCACGAACGATAGGAGAGGTGTGAGTCGACAGGCGATCGACACTATAGTGAGCTGGTAACTAGTCACTGAGTGTGCGCGTTTGTGTGCGTGAGTGGATGTGTGATGAGAGAGTGTTTTGTTGGTGTTTTGGTCAGTAGCGTGTGATGAGTAGTTGAGTGTGCAGTTCGACGAACCGTGTCAGGATGGCCGAGTGGTTAAGGCGTTGGACTTGAAATCCAATGGGGTTTCCCCGCGCAGGTTCGAACCCTGCTCCTGACGTGGCGGGCTTTTGTCCGAACATACAATTCGCCGCCTGAGACACTCACACCAGGCGAACCTCACACTCCACCCGACACACTGCGAGTGCAGGCACACACACACACACGCACGCACGCTCCGCATCCTGACAACTGAATATCCACCTCGAGTCGACCACCGACTCACAGTCAACAGACATCCACTCGTCCGAATCCAACGACAACCGTCAACAACTGCTCGAAGCCATCGTCTCACTTGCTCAAGTGATACTGCTCCACTGGTGACCGATCGAGTGGACGGATACTGACTGCACTCTATCGCTCACTGGAAACACTGCTTCACATGAAAACTGCATACCCCGACTGCACGCAGACACACGTCACCGGACACTGGCTCAGTGACCGGACCCGATGCAATCACTTACTCCATCAAGTCACGTAACTTGTCCCAGGTGTGTTCACAATGATTTCTCTCTCACCAGAGTAGTCTCCAACAACAACAACAACAACAACAACAACATCGCCTTGTTGGTGTGCGTCTCACCAAACACTTATGTATGTCAGAGACCAGACTGATATACACAAGTGAGTTTGTGAATACAAATTGTGTGCGATGATGCAGATCAACTGAATCTTCGTGTGAATTCATGCGGTAGTGATGGTGATGTCTGTGAGATGCAGATTGTGGAGAGAGGAGAGGAAATGTTGGAGGTCGGTGGCGAACACCAATGTGAAATCACCAGACATGAGGAACCACAGTCGTTCCATTCATCCTCCATAATCAGAATGTGTTCAGGTGAGTCAGTGAACAGAGACAACAGGAACAGACATTCCATCCACAACCGGAATCAATATGTCAACATCAGACATGACCGAAGACAGATGATCGCGTCGCTCATGCAACCATCGACAACATGTTTGAACTAGACAACTTCACCTTCGTCTCCGTCCCATCCCACATCTATATCTGCTTCTCATCGCCACATTCCATCTCTTCACCTTCTCTCTCCACCTCCACCTCCACCTCCATCTCCATCTCCCACACACACACACACACACACACACGCACACACACACATCTACGCACACACACAAACTAGTTTGACAAGTAGATCACCTACTTGGTGGATTGCATTCTGAGCATCGACATCTGTTTGTTCGTGTCCATTGCACACTCCTCATGCTGTCCGTCCCGACACGGAGATATGTGACGTCCGACTGACGAGAACTCGGATATCGTGGTCAATGCAGTGTTGGTTAGGGCTTCTCCGGATTTCCATCCCGTTCGCCAACTGAGCATCGATCACTCGTGCGAATGTCACGAACGATAGGAGAGGTGTGAGTCGACAGGCGATCGACACTATAGTGAGCTGGTAACTAGTCACTGAGTGTGCGCGTTTGTGTGCGTGAGTGGATGTGTGATGAGAGAGTGTTTTGTTGGTGTTTTGGTCAGTAGCGTGTGATGAGTAGTTGAGTGTGCAGTTCGACGAACCGTGTCAGGATGGCCGAGTGGTTAAGGCGTTGGACTTGAAATCCAATGGGGTTTCCCCGCGCAGGTTCGAACCCTGCTCCTGACGTGGCGGGCTTTTGTCCGAACATACAATTCGCCGCCTGAGACACTCACACCAGGCGAACCTCACACTCCACCCGACACACTGCGAGTGCAGGCACACACACACACACGCACGCACGCTCCGCATCCTGACAACTGAATATCCACCTCGAGTCAACCACCGACTCACAGTCAACAGACATCCACTCGTCCGAATCCAACGACAACCGTCAACAACTGCTCGAAGCCATCGTCTCACTTGCTCAAGTGATACTGCTCCACTGGTGACCGATCGAGTGGACGGATACTGACTGCACTCTATCGCTCACTGGAAACACTGCTTCACATGAAAACTGCATACCCCGACTGCACGCAGACACACGTCACCGGACACTGGCTCAGTGACCGGACCCGATGCAATCACTTACTCCATCAAGTCACGTAACTTGTCCCAGGTGTGTTCACAATGATTTCTCTCTCACCAGAGTAGTCTCCAACAACAACAACAACAACAACAACAACAACATCGCCTTGTTGGTGTGCGTCTCACCAAACACTTATGTATGTCAGAGACCAGACTGATATACACAAGTGAGTTTGTGAATACAAATTGTGTGCGATGATGCAGATCAACTGAATCTTCGTGTGAATTCATGCGGTAGTGATGGTGATGTCTGTGAGATGCAGATTGTGGAGAGAGGAGAGGAAATGTTGGAGGTCGGTGGCGAACACCAATGTGAAATCACCAGACATGAGGAACCACAGTCGTTCCATTCATCCTCCATAATCAGAATGTGTTCAGGTGAGTCAGTGAACAGAGACAACAGGAACAGACATTCCATCCACAACCGGAATCAATATGTCAACATCAGACATGACCGAAGACAGATGATCGCGTCGCTCATGCAACCATCGACAACATGTTTGAACTAGACAACTTCACCTTCGTCTCCGTCCCATCCCACATCTATATCTGCTTCTCATCGCCACATTCCATCTCTTCACCTTCTCTCTCCACCTCCACCTCCACCTCCATCTCCATCTCCCACACACACACACACACACACACACACACACACACACATCTACGCACACACACAAACTAGTTTGACAAGTAGATCACCTACTTGGTGGATTGCATTCTGAGCATCGACATCTGTTTGTTCGTGTCCATTGCACACTCCTCATGCTGTCCGTCCCGACACGGAGATATGTGACGTCCGACTGACGAGAACTCGGATATCGTGGTGAATGCAGTGTTGGTTAGGGCTTCTCCGGATTTCCATCCCGTTCGCCAACTGAGCATCGATCACTCGTGCGAATGTCACGAACGATAGGAGAGGTG